TTAAAACAGTTCAAAGCGAAGTAAAAGGTTTCGTTGCGGTTGTGGCCGCCTGCATCCTATCCGGATTTTCCGGTGTCTACTTTGAAAAACTTTTAAAAAACACCCCGCAATCCGTGTACGTCAGGAACGTACAGTTGGGATTCTTAGGGATGGTTCTGGGACTGATCGTTTGCTACCTGAAGGACGGGAGCAAGGTTCAGAAACTCGGATTCTTCTACGGTTACGATGCAATGGTCTGGCTGACTGTTATGTTGCTGGCACTTGGCGGGCTCGTCGTGGCCGTCGTCGTTCGATACGCCGATAATATTTTAAAGGTTAGATGTCACTCTCTGCTAATAATTGTAAATGTAACATTCAAGGTTGCTTAACTAGGGATCGGTAACTTTGCCTTCCAATCAATCGATCGATCGATCATTCATTCATTCACTGCACTATCTGGCATTCTAACTTTATTACATTTCCATTAATTTATTTGGTTAATTAATTTATTTATTCTTGTTTTAATTGAAATTTATTTTCTATTCATTTCAGGGTTTTGCGACATCTGGTTCCATAATAATTGCCTGCTTAGTTTCCATGGTGTTGTTCGATTTTCAGCCAAATTCTCTATTTTATCTGGGGACAATTTTCGTAATGCTGTCCGTTTATATGTACAGTAAATACGTCTACAGTGACGTTGGGAAGCCGTTATCAATGACTGCAAATAAATGAAAAATTATTAACTATATCAACAATCATTTAGATAGTTGATTAGTAAAGTAATTGATTAGTTCAATATTTATAATCTTTTATTGGCTGCGTGTTAAACAAAGAATCATGTTCAAGTTGGGTGTAATGGTATTTAAAATTTTGAATATTTTGGCTCCTAAATATTTAGAAGATAAATGTATTAGAGTCTTACCTATGTCATCACATGGGCGTCTAAGGTCTGCTGATTCAAACAAGCTGTATGTTAGGGATCGGAATCTGAAAACAGCAGACAGAGATTCTGCAGTTGCTGGACCTATTTTTTGGAACAGCTTACCTATCGAATTACGTCTATCTAGGTTATCAATAGCTGAGTTTAGAAAACGTCTGAAGACATACCTATTTGGTAACTTCTATTGATCATGATCCTAGATGATGGCTTTGCTTTCTACATGCTATCTATTACCTATTGGCAATTTCTACCAGGAGAGTGCTGATAAGAAGCAATTATAATTGGCGCTATATAAATTCAATACATACATACATACGCATATATTATAATATATTCTACAATTAAGTAATATATTCTTAAAATGAATAACTGAAAAACCACGAAAAAAACTTAGGCTCTGTTGTTAAAACTTTTATTTATTGTGAAACGAAAATTTTTACATATCCAACTAAACACATAAGAGTGTATATATATACATATATATATATATACACATATATATTTTTTTATAATATATATATATATATGTAAGAAGCTTCATCGTCATCGTCGTCATCACTTTTGTCACATAATAATTATATTAATTTTAATCAGTCATTTTCATCAACGCCACAGTATAAATGTCAAATAATTTACTATAGTATATATATATATATCCATATATATATATTAATATATATATATATATATATATATAGGCATAAAATTTCTAAATAAAATCCTTTAAATTAAAATTCTTCACGTTAATATATATATATATATATATATATATATATTTAATATTAATATATATATATATAAATATATATATATATATAAATTTAATTATTTATTTTCATATTTTAGAATTTTCATATTAAAACAATAATAAATAATAATAATAAACTTGATACCGATATTATTTAATAATTCAAGTGTCTTAGAAAGAGAAATATGTAGACAATATTGATAATAATATAATTAATAATAATAATAAAATTAACTTTTTTTTGAAGAGTACAACGGGTTTGTAATAGTAATAAGAACTAATTAACTAACGATTAATTTGACTAAACAACGTTCATCTAGACGGTAATGATATATACGATAATTATTTGATTGATAATATTATGTATATATATATATATTTATTTATTTATATGTATATATGATTGTCACTAATAAACATAGATAGTAACATTTTTTAAGATATCTCTGAAGAAAGTGTGATTAAAATGAAATTTTAAATTTAAAAAATAGAAGATAGATGAATGAAGTTATTAAATTTAAACTCACAAAATAGCCTTTCTACATTTAATCTGACTGGGTATATAAGAGTTGAAGGTGAATTTTTTTTTTAAATATATAACTTATCCATCATATAAGAAATTTATTTATCATTAAATCGTTTGTAGTATGCCTAGATACAGAAGAAAATATACAGACATTTACATTTATTTAACATGGAAATAATAATATATAACTATTAAATTGGTTTCATATATTTATGTATCAATCCATCCATTCGTTCATTCATTCGTTTATTTCCTCCCTCACACATTCATTCATTCCTTCATTCCTTCCTTCATTCATATAATAACTATTATATACTTAATATTCCTATAAAATGTCTATATTTGACGATAAAAATGATAAATTTAGGCATATAGATGAACACATACATACACTGTCTATTTTATCCTAACTGAGACTAACTTGACACAACAAGCAAATAAGTATATAAACAAACACATACAAACATACATACAATAACGCATACATGCTTAGGTACACAACATTACATACATGGAGACGAACACGCACATACAAGCAGCCATACCTAGAATCAAACATAAAAAAACACACAAAAAATAGATGAAACATAAGATTGATAAATATGTATATAAAAAAAAAATTTAAATATAAAACTTTTCCAAAAACTAAATATTTGAAAAGATATTTTTTTTAAAATTCTTTTCATATTTTCACTTTAGCATGTTATTATAACATTTCAGAAAGTATTGTAATGTGTCTATACACACCATATATATATATAGTATATATATATATATATATATATATATGTATGTGTGTGTTTGGTAGGTATGTGTTTATTTTTATACAATATACATAATGTTTATAAAGACAATTGATTGCACTGTACAAATTCTCTCTCTATATATATAGTTGTATATAAATGTATACATGTGTATGTGTTTATACATAGATACGAAAAAACACATCTGCGCCGGAAAATGCCATAGAAAAAAAAACAAAGAAATATTTTTGCTTTTTTTAAGTTTTTGAAAAATGTGTGATTTAAAAACATATATATATATATATATATATATATATATATATATATATATATATATATATATATATATATAAGCTTACAAAATACCTGAAACCCTTATGTATCTATACATGTATCTACATATACATCTATATACAGCTCTATACAAAATACGAACTAATGTACACAAACCTAGGACGTGCAAATACATACATAAATGCACAAACTTATATACATATATTAACTATATATATATATATATATATATATATATATATATATATATGTGCATATATTATACAGGCATACATACAAAAACATATAGACTTATATACAAACGAAACATAGAAACGTATATAAATAAAACAAACAAACCTATATACATGAAACACATATTAACAAAAACATACTGGCCTAACACATACTAAAAACATACAGACGTATCTACATGAAACACCCAAAGAAAGAAAGAAGATAAAACACACAATTTTACAAATAAATAAAAGTTACAGACGTACTTACCTAAATCAATTAAAACAAGCATGTGGTGTATGTATGTATGTATTATTATTAAACAATGAATGTGTGTCTGTATGCATATATGTATTTATGTATGTATGTATGTATGTATGTATGTATGTATGTATGTATGTATGTATGGTTGTTTGTATGAATGAACTCGTTTTGATCAACGTGCCATAGTGATACAAGCAATGGTTTCCAGGTTCAACTCTCACCTACGTCAATGGTCTCTCACATAGCCAGGCATTCTAGCGCTCCATCCAGAATACAGATGACATTGAATCTCTGTTATAACATCGACAATCTTGGACCAACGGCCATATTAACTGTGTTAATTAATTAATTTTTTAAAACTAGTTTAAAGTATTCATTTATTTTCTACCTGGGGAATAAAACAGTGTAAATGAAAACTATGTATGTATGTATGTATATTGTATATATATATATATACACACACACACATATATATATATACATTTATATATGTATGTAAGAATGTATATACATTTGAAACTTTATCCAAAATAAATAAACATCATACCAAAGCTATCAAAAAAAAAATATTTCTTTACTAAAAATCACCATCGACGTTCTCATCATCATTATTAACACAATCACTATCTTATATAAATAAATATATATATGTATATATTTATATATAAATGCAATATATATATATATATATATATATATATATATAATAGTGATAGTGTGATAATATTAATGTAGAATGAATATATGCACACACATACACACACACACACACACAAATATATATACATACACATGGTATTTATAAATATACAAAGTAACTCAAAGAAAGATTTAGTGAAATTTTCAACAATAAAAGGCTTAAAATAATAATAACAAATAAAAATAAAATTAATACAATATAGAAATAATAATAATAATAATAATATATAGATACAATAATAATAATAATTAAAATAATAATAACAATTATGATCCAAAGCCAAAGAAAAATAGAAAATAATAATAAACGCCATTTAACTGATGGTAACAATGACTTTTAAATATTTACCATAACAACAGTATATATATATAAATATAAATATACATATATTTATATATACATATATTTATATATATATATATCTATTAATTTGGAAAAATGTATAAAACTGATGGTGTAACAAGATGGTGGGTTTTTCCATTATTATTATATTATTATTATAATCATTGTTATAATTATTATTATAATTATTATTATTGTAACTATGAGGATGATGATGACAACGATTACGAAGATGATAATGACGGCGATGATGATATTGTAACTGATTCCATAGTAGGTACAATGGGTGATGGCGAAGACGATGATGACGACGATGATGATGGCAGCGATAAAGATGATGATCCTAAATTAGCATCATTACTACCACCACTACGTATATTGTTATTATTATTATTATTATTATTATTGTTATTATCGTCAGGAGAGTTTTTATAATTTATAATTACAACTTTCGCCTCTCTCGTTCCGCCATCATCGTGGTCACTACCGACATCTTTACCCTCGTTTCCGGACTTGCCGCCATCTTGTTTAGGGCCGGAAATAGTGATGGGCGCGGTGTAGAGAACCGAGGGCTGGGGAGGTGGATTTGGTTTGCTGAATATCGACGGTAGGTTGGCTTTGATAACTGTGAACTTGCGCTTCGATGAAGTCGGCGATCGAGATAGTATCGTCGTTGCTGCAGCAGCTCCTGCTGATGTTGCCGATGATGATAGCAGTTGTTGCGCCGGTGTTGATAGTGATATTGTTGTTGTTGCTAGAAATTGTTGAGTTGTTGCAGTTGTTGTTGTTGGGTCAGTTGCGTCTATAGAAATCAGAGGTGCTACTGATGATGTTGTTGTTGTTGCTGCTGCCACTGTTGAGTCTGCTGCCAGGACTGCTGCTGCCATTGCTGCTGTTGGTTGACTTGCTGCTAATGTTGCTGATGTTATAGTTAATGTTGGAGTGGCATTGGAAGTTGCTGCTGGCTTGAATGTTGCTGGTGTTGATGTTTCGGTGACATCATTGTCACTTTCATCTGTTTGACCTTGATATTTTGTAATTCGATCAGTCAGTCAGTCGGCCAAGATAAGATTCAATAAATCAATCAATCAATCAATCAATCAATCAATCAATCAATCAATCAATCAATCAATCAATCAATCAATCAATCAATCAATCAATCAATCAATCAATCAATCAATCAATCAATCAATCAATCAATCAATCAATCAATCAATCAATCAATCAATCAATCAATCAATCAATCAATCAATCAATCAAACCAACCAACCTACAAACAAATCAACCAATGTACCAAAAACGCAACTAAGAAACGGATAAACTCAACTACTATTTTCGTAAAACACACAAACAAACAAGCAAACATTACAACCTTGAGAAATAGTATCCAAAGAGGGCTGCTGTTTATATTTTAAAAGTGAATCTCCGCACGACGAATCAGGGATTGATGGAGACTCGAGACTTTGACATCGGTAACGAGTTCTGGAGAGGCATTCGTGTGCGTCACTACTACTACGACATGGAATGACAAGTTTGAGATCTGGTTTAAGATAATGTTGTTGTTGATGTTGCTGTTGTTGTTGTTGATGTTGAAGGTCATCTGATTGCGGTTGCAGTTCTTGCAAAACAGTAGTAGCAGTAGGTTGCCCACTGGAGTCTAACTTTTCAACAGCAACACAACATCCAGGGTTGCCATCCTGCTGGCAGCACATTTCAACTTTCTCATCATCTTGTTGATGTTGTTGCATAAGTATTTGTTGCTGTTGTTGCTGCTGTTGATGTTGCTGATCGGAGTTTCGATATGTGTAGGCATATATATCGTGGATGCATTTGGCTTCGGGGTCGTTGGCATCGTCATCGTCATCCTCATCATCACCATCTTTCTTCTTCCTGTCCATGTTGCTGCTGTCAGCTGCTGATGTCTTGCTATCTGATCCAGACAACTTTGGAGTACATTTTTAAATGTAGAGTAATTTTCAAGCAATCAACCTCACAATTAGATCGTCAACCTCTTTGCTACCTTATGACCATGAATTTAGCCACCTTATTAACATAATCTTACAACAGCCTCATTAATATAATCATCATACATCAGTCTCATTAACATAATCAGACCTCATTAATATGCATGTTAGGCTTAGCTGCGCAGACGTCCATATCGATGCAGGTGACCGAATGGTTGACCTTGAGCGATTGACACAAGGCCATGAGGCCGGCTGTCTTAAGTTTGTTACCCCTGATGTCCAGTTTCTGTAGCCTCGTGTGTTCCACGATGAACTCCGCTAAGGCTACTGCTCCTGATAACGATGACGATGATGATGTGGTGATCCGATGATGATGGTGTGATGATGGTGTGGTGTGATGATCTGATGATGATGATGATGATGCGGTTGTATAAATATGCAATTCAAATCATTTTCTTCGAGTGACTCAGAATCTTTAAAACAGCAACAAAAAAAACGAAAGCTATTCGCGACGTTTGAGAATTTGAATAAATACTTTACTCAACTCTGCTAAGAAAACGAATCATAGTAGTGCACAGACAACACACGCGCGCACACACACACTCACATATCCAAACAAACAAACACACACACACACACACACACACGCACATACAAATATATCTACGTTTAGATGTATCTATCAGTGTGGGCTCACACATTCATCAAATATTCCTATTTTTAAAATCGAAACCATTTGAAACAAAATTCATTTTTTGCTTCATTCATTCACTTCTTCGTTTAATCACTCATCCAAACATTTACTCATTCATTCATTCATTCATTCATTCATTCGTTCGTTCATTCATTCATTCGTTCAATCATTCATTCGTTTATATATTTATTTATCCAAACATTCATTCATTCATTTATTTATTTATACAACCACCCTGCAATGATAACATAAGTGAGATGTTTGGCGTCGTCGTATGAATGCAACAATCGTTGGATGAATGAATGCGCTAAATTTCGCACACAATATTTTAAAAAATTATTCTCAATAGAAAAAAACTGCGACAACAATAACAAAAACAACAAAAATAATAACAACAACAATAACAATAATAACTAATAATAATAACTAATAATAATAACTAATAATAATAACAGCCCATACCTTCACAGGTAATCTTAATAGCCTGCAGTCCAATTCTTAGGAGAGAATTATTCTTGATCAGGCCATCCTTCAACTTGTACACCCCCTCGTTTGTGATGTTGTTGTGGCCCAGGTTTATGGTCTCCAGGCTCTGGGTGCTTTTCTGCGATTATGGAAAGGTTAGGCGGTAGGGATGTGCGTTGGGTGGTGATTGGGTGGTGAAAAATTTCAATGAAGAGGTGGGTGCCATACTATTTTTTAATAATGATGCGATAAAAACAAATTATTCTAAAATAAGTATTATTTATGTAATATAAAATGATGAAAAAATGAAATGATTAATTAATTAAAATATAGCATAGAACAGCAGGTGGGCAAACTTGTTCGTCAAAAAAAGTCAACAGCCAGACATTAGGACCAACAAAAGGAACCACAAATCTTAAAAAATTGTCCCCCAGGTCGAAAAAATTTGCTACATAAGTACATATGCGGCCCTTCAAAGGTAAAATAGTTTTCAATGCGGCCCTCACAGCAAAAAGTTTGCCCACCCCTGGCATAATAGAATAAATACTCACCAGCATCTTAGAGAGCATAGACATGGAGGACTTGGTGAGTTTATTATTCCAAACGACCAACGTATTGAGGGAACTGTTATTTGACTGGGCCAATGCATCGAATATATGCGTAGCTCCAGAGTCCTGTGAATGTTGTGGCGTGTTGTCATGCTGTTGTCGTCGTTGTTGTTGTCGTTGGTGGTGGTGGTGGTGTTAATACAAAATAATTAAATTTACAAACAAATCCATCTATCTAGCAAATAGCCATCCAATCAGCCAGCCAGTCGGCCAGCCAGTCGGCCAGCCAGCCAGCCAACCAACCAGCCAGCCAACCAGCCAACCAACCAACCAGTCAGTCAGCCAGCCAGCCAACTAGCCAGCTAGTCAGTCAGCCAGCCAGCCAACCTGTAAATTATTATTCCTGAGATCAATGAGCTGTAGACAATTATTATCTCTAACGAGTGATGCAATCTGCAGGCCATCTGGTGGATTAAAATGGTTGTCCCCAAGGTACAAGTCCCTGATTGACTTGTTACCCCTTACGCCATTTGCTGATTAGGATGATGATGATGTTGATGAAGATTATGAGGAGGAGGAAGATGAATTAGATAAAGACGATGATAGCCATGATGAAGGAATATAACATGATAGAGTAAGTGAAGGGAGGAATTTGGTTATTCTATGAAAAGGTTTCATATAAGTTTTATATAAATAATCAAATTTTAACCTACTAAATAAACATCGACATTATTATTATTATTGTTGTTACACATATTATATACACGCACACACGCACGCACGCACGCACGCACACGAAAATATGCATGCGTACAATATTTTTCTATTTTCTTCATTACTATTATTACTAATCCTAATAAAAAAGACAAAACAATTACACTAACAAAGCAACTGTAGATGTCGCCCTGAGGTAATCGAATTCTGTAGATGTAAGGCGTGCAGATTGGAACATCCCTGGACCCCCCTGACAAAATTAGTGAAAGAATATTCGGGTACAGATGAATTTTTCGCCTCCAAAAATTCCAAAGTGTTCGACTGTTGGTGGTGAAAGTAAATCTCCAAATGAATGCTACATCTAAAAACGCACACGCACGCACGCACACACACACACACACACGCCCATAAATATGCAGAGACTGATACTTATATAAATAAATCCACTCATTTATCCATCAATCTGATTCATTCATTCATTCAGTATATCATTCAATCATTCGTTCACTCACTCATTCGTTCACTCATTTGTTCACTCACTCACTCATTCGTTCATTCAATCATTCATTCAACACTTATACCTGTCTTAATTTCCAGGAACAGCTACAGTCTATGCATATTTTATATTGTTGAAACCACACACACAAACACACACACACGCACGCATACACATAAACATACACATAAACACATACATGTGCACACAAATACACACACACACACACACACACATGCATACATAGTTACATGTTACTATGAATAAATAAATATATGGTATAAAAAATTTCTGATGATGTCTAGTTTAGTGTTGTCATCACCAACAGATTATTAACATTTAATCATTCACCAACATCATCATCGTC